TTGGCAGGGAAGATTGTTATCTCGGGACCCACTGAATCTAGGAAGCTGAAATTTTGGGGGAGTGTTCCCTGCCTAAATGCAGCCCCTCAAATTTAAATTCAGAACAGTGGAAATCATTAACAGTCAATCGTTCGGTGGATGGAATTGCACAAAACGCAGATGGCACCAGCTGCCGTGATGAGCACTGCTATTTATTTCCCCTTTTTCCTCGTCGTAATTCCTTAAGTGTTTCAGAAATTTTAAAGATACAAACAATGAATATCCTTGGCTAGGAAATTGAAAGAGAACGGGGGTCTGAAATCTTTTATTGTTAACATATGCAGTTTGTTTAGCGTTGCTGGTGCCCATCGTGAAGAGGAACACAATCGAATTTTGATAATGAAAGCACGGAAGTGCCATTTATATCTCCCAAATAAACAATCCTGTATGAGCAGTGACCTGGTAACCTGTCTGTGTTTCATCCCTGAGCTCTCTAAATTTCACTCTTATATGCATTTACATTTTATGTGCCGTGTATATTTTAAATACTGCCTATTAATCAACACCGCAACCGCTGCACTGATTCGAGATTCAGTTGTAGTGCTGAAAAGGAATGTATACGATTATTTGGTGAACCGAAATATTCCTGTTCGGTTGATTAATTTTTATATTTCATATATTTCACTGTTACAGATTTCATCCTCTGTTAATGATGTTACTGGAATGTAAAACAAATGTTAATTTTTTTGGTCCATAAAATCGTATACATTCCTTTTCAGCACCACAACTGTACCTCGTCGGTACGACTGTTGTAGTGTAAATTAAACCATTGTTTTGTGTAGTTTAAAAAAAAATGCAAATATTACGCAGTCACAATTAACATGATGCTAATTAGCACCGCTGTAGTGCCGAAAATCGAGAGTTTGTCTCGGCCAGTACCATAACCAATAGGTTTGATTCCTCAGCAGTTCGTTCTTGGCCCGTTATTAAGTCAAAGGCGCCATCAGGTTGCTTATATTAGAACTCTCAAAAGAGGAAACCATCGATAGCCTAGCCAGTACACAGATACTACTTATCTTCGCTCATACAGAAAATTAATATGAAGGGCTTTTTGACTTTCGTTTGATTAGGGCAGCAGACTGGAAACTGGATGAGCCTGATTGGACGGGACGCATGCGACTAGTGGCGATCGGAAAGAAGCTTGAATTACGACTGGAGGATCGGGCATCAGGGCAGCTGTTCGCGAAATGTCCGGTGGATGAGTATCCTGGTATCAGCATCGAGCCTGTCGTCGATTCTTCACGATATTTCGTTGTTCGCTTGAAAAATGACAACGGCCAAACGGCATTCATCGGTGTGTTTGTGTTAATTTACTGCCGGTACTCTAAAGTTCTCCGTACTGTAACACGTGGAGGACGGGTGCGCGGTTAGAAGGGCTTAGGAGCTGCGGGAGGCAAACCATGTTCAAACCAATAAACAGTGTTTTTTTTTTTTTTTTTTAGAGAAAAACACACGCACAGAAACAAAAACCAGCCGAAATTCGCGGGAGGTCCAACAGTAGCTCCAAGCTGCCACCCTACAATTATACACGCTTCTTTCTTGTTTTTGAGTTGGCAATTTTCCCGCCAAAGAATTTGAGGAGCCCGTGCGTAACAGTCACGCACACCTAGAGGCTAAAGTTGAAATCTTTAACTTGTACCTAGGCTAGGAACATCTTAAGATCTAGCTTTCCTGGAGAGGGGGAGCTCCAAGCTGCTGCTGCACAGTTAGTACGGGAAAAAAATCACCACTTCATTTCTAATCACATCATTACATATCACGGAAAGGGAGCTCGGGTTAGGGTTGGGACATTTGCATATCACATGAAGTCAAAGGGCAATTGGGCAAGGCGAAGGAGTTTTAGCCCGCAGCTTCGTTTCATGGCTGTTAGCACCTTGTGCTTCTTGCAACACTATTGCATTCCGTAAGAGGGACGAAACTGCGCAGGAATGAACTGAGTAACCACACCTTGCCGATAGTGGAGGTTCTCCCCTTCTATTACACCGCATTTTGAGGGCTGCTTGAAAGAAAGCTGAAGGATTGAACGGTTTTGGCTTCTTGAACAGATGCTGTACAAAATGCTTATACTGCTCCCTCCCCGGTCTTCGTTGTAAATTGGTGCTAGTCGTTGGATTGCATGTAATGCTTGACTACAAACACAGAGAATTTTAGAACAGAAAAAGGCATATCCTGATCTTAGGAAACG